ATATATATATATATATATATATAATGACCTATAAGTCATCTAGTTCAAAGGTGCCAAACTTAAAAGAAACAAGGGCTATTTACCCATACATAAGGATCCCTGTGTGCCTCATGTTGACTTAATTTAAAATGTAATTTTTAAAAAATGCTTTATTGTATTTTCGTTTATTTGGTTAGGTATTTCTCAATCACATTTTAATCTGATTCAGGCCACCTCAGCTACTGGCTGCATGTTTCACACCTCTGATCTAGTCTAAAGCCCTTATTTTGCAGATGAGGAAACTGAGGCTCAGTGGGGTAGAGTAACTTGAGAAAAGTCACCTAAGTAACAGAATCAGACTTTAAAACAAGATCTTGTGATTCCAACTTTGATGCTTTTTTTTAATCCACCATGACATGCTGGAAGTATGTCTTGACAGTTTAAAAACTAATGAACCACAGTTTGAAAATGAGATGCATTATGAAAGTAATTTTAGTGGAGATAAAATGGAGTGGCAAGTACACACAAAAGGGAATTGGACACTTACTTCAAGTCTATAGTTGTGAAAATGGCTTTGTCTGCCAAAATCCTAAATTGGCTTCTGAAAAGCAGTTAAACCATTACAAACCTGTAGAGTTGTACCTACCTAAGTCTCTGGTAACTTAATACCAAGATTGACTCATCATAACAAGTACAATCAGGACTGGGGTGAGAAGTAGGACATTTGGGCTCAAAGTATAATTTTGGCCTTTGAATAATCATGAAGACCTCCCTATGAAGACTTCCCTTTTGGGAAAGGTCACTAGCCATGTGTCTGCCTTCTCGTAGTGATGGACTCCTGCTAGATTTGTATTACCACAGAATTTAACCAGACAGTGAATTTCTTCTAAGAAAACTTTCCCTTAAGAGCAAGGTTTTGGTCAGGAATGGTAGCTCATGCCTGTATTAGGAAGTACTTGGGAGCCTGGAACTGGTAGATTCCTTGAAATTAGGAGTTTTGAGTTGCAGTAAGACTAAAGTTTGTAGGGTGTCCATATTTAGTTTGGCACTAATATGGGGAACTCCCAGGACCTGAGGGCCACAAGGCTGCCTAAGGAGAGCCAAACAAGTTCAGGTTGGAAAAACAGACCATGTTAAAGCTTCTTTGCTGATTAGTATTGGGGTTGGCCATGAGTGGCTGCTACATTTCTGGCCTGGGTAAGATAGAGTCAGGAAAAAGAGAGAGAGAGAGACAGACAGACAGACAGAGACAGAGAGACAGAGATAGAGACAGAGACAGAGACAGACAGAAACAGAGAGGAGAGACAAGACAGAGAGAGAGTATGTATTTGGTTAATCTGATTAATTGCCGCAGCCTTCCACTTCATTTGGCTTGTGTAGACACAGCATAGTGCAAAACTTTTTAAAATTTTTTTGTGTCCTGGAACCCTTTAACAGTGAACCACTTACACTGAAATACAACTAGCAAAAAAATTTTTTAAAAGACCACAAACTGCAGGTTAAGAACTCCCTAGACTATAGTGGAAAAAGTTCTGAACTTGGAGTCAGGAGAACTGGATTAGAATCCTGACTCTATCACATTATAGCTGTGTGACCTTGGGTAGGTCACTTAATTTTGCTGAGCTTCTGTTTTTTCTTCTGTGAAATAGGATTATAAAATATCAGTACTCCTACTTTACAGGAGGAGGCCAGGTGGCACACTAGATAGAGCACTGTACCTGGAGTCAGGAAGATCTGAGTTCAAATCTGGCCATAGACACTTGCTGGTTGTGTGACCCTGGGCAAGTCCCTAACCTCTGTTTGCCTTAATGTCCTCATCTGCAAAATAAGGATAGTAAAATATTATAATTCTTACTTCAACAGCTCTTTATTGTAAGGACAGTGTTTTGTAAACCTTAAAACACTATATAAATATGAGTTTCTATGTTATTGCATTGTGATAAACTGTCAATCCAATTTAAATTCTTTCTCTTACTTCTCCCACCTTCTATGGATCAATGAGTTTATGCCTCTGAAGTCTTCCTCCAATATGTCATTCATGTTGTGAAGATAAGCCTGGGTTCTCAAAAGTTATGCCTATGGTACATAAGTGCTGTGGCCATTCATGCTTAATTTCAGTTGCAGGAACCGTAGGCGTGAGCCACAACTCCTGGCCAAAACCTTGTTCTTAAAAGTTAGAACTCCTTGGGAGAAATTCATTGTCTGGTTAAATTCTGTGGCAAAACAAGTCTAGCAGGAATCCATTTCTCCTCAGTTGGAAAGGCTTTAAGTATCGACTGGTCCATTGACAGACTCTGTCTTATAGTCAAAGACCTGCCTAGTTAAACTCATAGAGGCTCATTACCAGAAAGCTGGCCATAAAGGGATGATTTTTTTTCCTCCCTAACAACTCTTGAAAACTGTCTGTTGAGGTTTTGGAGAGTTGCAATGTGTAATGTTGGAGGACGCACCCGTCCCAGTGAAGTCATAGATTCTTGAAATATTAGAATATTGAAGTGGATTTGGAAGATACAGGGCTTAGAACAAAATGAGGAAACTACATAATAAACTGGTCCAAATAATCATAGTATGCTAGAACCCTAAGGGACCCTAGACAAGCTTTGTTTCAATCCCTACATTTTAAGGATAATGGAACTGAAGCCCAGAAAAGCTTACTAACTTAAGTAAGGTCACACAGTTAGAGAGGGAATCACATTTCACCTAAGTCTCCTCATTCCTAATCCAGTGCTCTTTCCACTATGCCATGTAAGTTTTTTATTTCAAAAAGACCAAATGATTTGGGCAGCTAGGTGATGCAGTGGATAGAGCACCGGACCTTGAGTCAGGAGGACCTGAGTTCAAATCCGGCCTTAGACAGTTAACACTCACTAGCTGTGACCCTGGACAAGTCACTTAACCGCATTGCCAAGCAAACAAAAAAATCAAATGAGATTAACTTATGTAAAGTTATGTTTTAAGCTTTGCAAAGCTTAAAACATTATATAAATTCTAACTATCAAGCTACAATAACAATAATATATTATAATTGTTATTAGCATGTATTTGGTTCAGGGATGCTTAACTTTTTCATGACATAGGTCCCTTTAGCAGTCTGGTGAAGCCTCAGAATAATGGTTTTAAATACATAAAATAAAAAGGAAACCAATCATTTTGAAATGCAATCACCAAAATAGATATTTTTGAAAGTTCACAGATGCTAGGTCAAGAACTCCTGATTCAGACCTACTGTGTGATTCTACTAATATCTAGATACTTGGGCCAGTGGTTATTTTAATATTAGAGGTTAGTCTAACCCCTTCTCCAGACAAGACTGGATCTGAAAAACAATGCCAGAGATAATGGGAGCTCGGAAGAACCACAGTGCTGTTTTCTGAGGTGAATGCTTTTGTTTGGTTTGGGTTTGCTTTGATACAGTTCACATGTGATGGAAATGTAATGGTCAAACTCAAAACCAAATTTCTAGCAAGACAAAGGGCCTTATTAGCCTCCTTTAGGCTTCATAGAGACTGGATTAGGACACTGACAGGGAGAGGAGAGCCCAGTGCAGGGATCTGCCCCAAGTGCGTGCAAAAATCAGGAAATAAGAAGGGAGTGACCTAGCTCCAAACAGGCACATGAAGTCCATGATGGTGAGGCATATTCACAATGGCCTGAGGGCAGGAAAGACTCCAAAGGGAGCCAGAGTTCAGCTCGTAATAATCTGTCTCCCAGCCTGGACAGCACTAATGAGTGAGCAGTTTAAGTGAATAAGTCTACCCTGAATTTTCACTGTCCACTTCTAGGACAATAGATAGTGACGTGCATAAGCAATGCCATTCTGACTCGTTTTTTTCAGCTCTTTCTTCAGAATAATTCATGGAATACTAGGATATCAGTCAATTAATGGGCATTTATTAAGCACTTATTATGCCAAGGATTAGAGATACAAATAAGGAAATTAACCCTAGTTTCGAGGAAATTGAGGAAACCTTAGAAATCATCCCATTCAAGACCGTTGTTTTCCATTGAGGAAACAGAGGCCCAGATAGTTGCCCATGCATGGTCTGATACCCCAGAGGTTCACTTAACTCAGTTATCCTCAGTATCCAAAGAATCCAGAGTTTGAATGGGTAATGGATTCCAGTAGAAAGAGTTCAGGTAACATGGCTGCTCACTCAGGATACACTGCTTAAAGTAAATGCCCCATTTTAATCAAAATATGAATGAATGAGTGAGTGAATGAATGAATAAATGAGTAAAAAAGCACTTATCAACTGTTTTCCATATGCAAAGCACTGGATATAGTAAATACAAAAGCAAGAGTTTCTCTGCTGTCGAGAAGATTACATTCTAATGCAGGCTACAACACATACAGGTAATTAGTATTGGCTACAAGTCAGATAGAAAGGCCCAGTGATCCTTAGAGGTGCAGCAACAAAGCAGATGGTAGTATCATTTCCACTGATAAAACCATATCAATTTATTATGTTGAACCATTTGAAAGGCTAAGGACTTTGGTGATGAGAATTTTCAGGACTTCAGTAGCTATGGTTGCTGAGGAGATAGGGGCTGTGTCATAGAGAAGGGAGAAGGGATGAGCCTTTAAAAGAATATAGAACCATAGATTTAAAGCAAGCAGGACTCTTAGAGTCCAATCCCCTCATTTTACAATTGAGGAAACTGAGACACAGAGCAGTGAAGTTACTTGCTCAGGGTCATATAGTTAGTATCTGAGGTGAGATTTGAACTCAGGTCTTCTGATTTTTAGTCCAGTGCCCTAAAAATTGAGCCATGCTTACCTAAGATAATGAGGAAAGAGAGAGGAGGAAAATAGTATGAGGACAGTTAGGCAAAAGAAGAAGAAGAGAGAGAGATAGAAGCGAGAAAAAGAGAGAGATACAGCAACCAGCCTTGATGACACACCAAAATATTTCCATATATTGGTTACAACACATTGCTGCAGGGTACTCAGAAGAATACTTAGTTCACAGAAGCGAAGGCTGTAATAGTAAATATTCTCATAATGAACTCCTAAGAAGGGCATGTTTTCCTTTCTGGAAAGTTTGTCGTCTGCACCTCTTCCAGAATTGGTCATCACATGAAGCTAATTCCCTGGGAAAGCTCACCTGATCCTCTCAACTACTAATATCCTTCTTCTCAAACTACCTTGTATTTAACTACTTTGTACATATTTGTACCTATTAATTTTATATTTATGCTATATATGCATATAGTTACATATACAAAGATATGGAGATGAATTAAATAATCCCTACTCACAAAGAGCTTACCTGGGGGAGACAACAGGTGTATATCTATCTATCTATCTATCTATCATCTATCTATTTATCTATCTATCATCTATCTATTTATCTATCTATCATCTATTTATCTATCTATCATCTATTGTCTATTTATCTATATATCATCTATCTATCATCTATCATCTATCTATCTATCATCTATCCATCATCTATCTATCTATCATCTATCTATATATCATCTATCCATCTATCATCTATCTATCTATCTTTGTGAATATGGATTATTTCATTCTTTGTCTTTGTATTCCTAGTATCTAGCATGGGTCCTGGAACATGCTGTTGTTCAGTCGTTTCAGTCTTGTCCAACTCTTTGTAACCCCATTTGGGTTTTTCTTGGCAAAGATATTGGAGTGGTTTGTTATTTCCTTCTCCAGCTCATTTTACAGATGAGGAAACTGAGGCAAACAGGGTTAAGTGACTTGCTCTGGGTCACATAGCTAGTAAGTGTCTGAGGCCAGATTTGAACCCAAAGAAGATGAATCTTCCTGATTCCAGGCCCAGCACTCTTTCCACTGCACCACCTAGCTGGCACATAGTAGGAACTTAATAAGTACTTGTTGATTGATATTAGAGATCTGTATGAACTGGACAGCAGAAAGAAGGGAAAGAAAACCCCGATGCTCCCAGGGACAGAGTTACAATGTTTGTCTCCTTACCTTCTTTTATTTGTTCACTCTTCCTTGATTCTCCAACAGCTCTGTGAGGCTGATGTCTTTTGTTGTTGCTCATTCATTCAGTCATGTCCGACTCTTTGTGACCCCATGGACCATGGCACACCAGACCTTTCTTTGGTCCGCTATCTCCCAAAGTCTGTCCACATTCATGTTCATTGTTTCTGTGACACTGTTTATCTATCTCATCTTCTGCTATTCCCTTTTCCTTTTTCCTTCAATTTTTCCCAACGTAGGGTCTTTCCAATGCATCCTATCTTCTCAGTATGTGGCCAAAATATTTAAGCTTCAGCTTCTGTATTTGCTCTTCCAATGAGTACTGTGAATAAAGGAATGAATTAAAGGTTGATGTCTACTGCCCAATAAACTGAACTTTCAGATGACTTGGGCCTCAAGTTTGTGCTCTTCCAAGCTCTGCCTTTTGATATTCATTCCTATTCCTTTAATCCATGTAGCAATTAAAGTCCTGCTCAGACACCTCATTGTGATATAGAGGTTACTCTTGGGTCTTTGAGGGCTATGTCAATGAATCACAAGCTCTGGTTGGTCACACCAAGCTGGAGAGGCCTCAGCCTGGTGAGGTCCAGCAGGTCACTCAGTCAAGAACCAAGAGAGCACAGGGCAGAAAGACTTTCACTCAAGTGAGCTACTCATTGACTTTTTTGTGTTTGTTTGACCCCACCAATTAACAAAATGCAATGGAGTCTTCATCTTCCTCAATGGTAGGAGCATGTACACTGATGAAGTCATCTTTCCAAACATCCCATTGATCAAATAATTAATAAGCATTTATTAAGTGCTTACTATGTATCAAGAAAAGGAATAGAGAACTGCTTCTGCTTTGTCGATCTTGGCTTGGGAACCTCATCCATTTTTTATCAAAAGCACACTTTATACAATACTTAACAGAAGCAGATAAAAATAGCTTTTCACAATGAAAGATAGGTTTCTCGAGGTATAGAGCAACAGAATGTGATAAGAGGAACAGCATTTTAGGTATGAAAAGTGCACTATTATCCACAAAGAAGCATTAGTTAGCTGGATATCTGGAGGTCCAGCATTGACTGATATGACATTAAGCTAATCATGTCATTTCCTTGGGCCTTAGTCTTCGGGTCTGAGGATAGGAGTTCTGTCTCTTGTTACTTCAGTAAAGTGTTAAGATATAAATGATTTTCTAAATTTTTTTTTAAAATTAAGGATAGAAACACAAACTAAAAACCCATGAAGATCAATGAAATCATGTCTTTGGAGTTGCCTTCAGGCAGAAGTTTTGACATTTTTTTTGTGTATCATGAGCCCCTTTGGGAGTCTAGTGAAACTCACAGACCCCTTTACAGCATAATTTTTTTAAATTCATAATTGAAGGAAATGATAAATTCTAGTTAGAGGCTAATGAAAATAAAGATATTTTTCTCCTTATCTGAGTTCACAAACCCCCTAAAATCCATTCATGAATCCTTTGAGGAGTTCATAGACCCTATGTTAAGAATACCTGACTGAGAGAAAAGGTGTGATGATGATGTCTAAGGAGCCATCATATAGAAATATCAAAGTTAATGACTTATGGGTTTTAGGGAGGATTAGTAAGCCCCTGCCTCACAGAGAGTAAGAACTGCTGGAATGGCTAGACCCTTAGAATCTGACCTCTCTTTTCTCTCTTTTCTCTTTTCTAGGGGAGAATGTGGTTTGCGAGAGTACTCAGAAGTCAAGACAGTGACAATAAAGATTCCCCAAAAGAACTCCTAAGAAGGGCAAGGAAGAAAGGGGGCCGACCAGCCTGTGTCAGGCCCCCTCAATGTTCTCTGTGGGGCCCAGCACTCAGGAATACAAAGTGTTACACAGTCTTTATTTAAGAATTTAAATGATAACCTATATGCCAGGCAATTCAATGCATATGTAAAGCAAACCAACTGTGTCAGGTTGACTGGCACTCTGTGAGAAACCACTTTAGTATTACCAAATAATGAGGGAAAATAGAACAAGGGTTAAGACTTGTGGCCATCAAACACATTCAGCTTCCCTTCCTAGAACCTGGGGTCAAGTTGGGGAACTGTTTCATTTGATGTCCAAAGGGCTTTCTTCTTGAGGAATGGTGACCTTTTTCATTTCCTTCATTCTTTTTCTTCTCTTCTCTCCCCCCTCTACCCCCTACTACCTTCCCCTCCCCCAAGAAGAGCTCCTTAGCTAAGCTCATTTGGGGCAGATGTTTGGGCCGGGAACAATTTTCCAAGGTTTTGCAGCCAAATTACCGTTTCATGTTATCCATTTCTTCAAAGTGAAACATGAAATGGTTTTAGTTAGAGCCAGACCAGACTAGAAATGCCAAGAGCTGGTATACTGCAGATGTATTAAGAAGCCAGAAATCATGATATTCCTGACTTTCCCTGGTTTTCTTTCTAACCATCATGCAATAGGAGATAGACATCAGGGAGATGCCAATCGGGCAGGCAGCATGGATAGTTCACAAGCTTCTGAGCTTCTGGTGTTTTTTTTTTCTTCTGTTGTTGAATTTGTTTGCTTAGATGGCTAAGATGTTTTAAGAAAAACATCCTTTTTTTTTTTTAAAGCCAGACCAAAAATAATAATAACGTGCAGGTTTAGGGGTACAAGAAAAGATGATATCAGATACTTAGCAGAAATAATTGAGTTCCTTTTTTTGTGTCAATGGTTTTTAAAAATTAATGATCTATAATTTTGGAGTCTATGGGCTCCTCAGCTCCTGTGCCCACCAACCTGTTGCCCTCAAGTGAAACAAGTGTGACTTTGGTCCATTGAAACCTGCCATGATCCGGATTCACTGGAAACAGACAAACCTGGCAAGTTGTATGGCCAAGCCCTAAAGTTTCCCTTCTAAACATTCCAGCATGCCACCTTCAGCAGCTTATTGTTGCCAACATCACTCCCATTGGGTTTGTGCCCTGGCATTTTCTACTTGACCTTGCCTTCCAGTAAGGTTTGGGTCTGCAATGTGGGAAGCATTAAAAAGGCCCTGCTCCTGTCCCCTCTGAAATACCCATTCCCCTCCTACTTCCCAGTGTAACAAACAGCAGGTTCTACGTGGACAGTGTTAGCTGCCTTTCCCCCCTTTTTCTCCCCTTTTTCATTACCAGCTGCAACATCCATTCCCATCTCTCATCTTGATGAAGAACAACATTTATTTAAAAGTGCCAAGCCTAGCCTAGAGTATGTGGAATAATGGGCAGTATATGTATATATACATACATATATATATGTATATATATATGTATGTATATATGTATATATATATGTATATATATATATGTACACACACACACACACACACATAGCCTTCTATATAACAGTTTTCTGCTTCCAAACCATACCAGTCTTCTATTTATAATTATCGTCTCTTCGTGGATATTTTCGAGCCATCTGTATTTGCTGTTCTTTGCAGATTACAGTGCATTTACAAACCCTGGTCCCAAGACAAAACACCCTATTTCTGAGTTCTTCAATTGAATGTCATGCTCTCCTACTACTGTAGTGTATGTCTGAGCAAAAACATCCACTAACCAACTTGTTGTCTTTGAACTGAGATAGAGAATGTGAAAAGGGAGATTTATTTCTTTTAATTTACTTAAAAAGAAAACTTCTGTGCTAGCAATAAAGCATTTATATTGTGTACTCCTTGGGATCATTTGGCTGTGTTTGTGTGCCTGTGCGTTATTCTGAGTCAGTTTGGGTCATCGCTTGGTTTCTCAGCTCAGCAGCTGTCTTTGCAATCACCATTAACTAAGTTTGGGAATATACTGTTTTTTACAGAAACTTATGAGTGTTGCCAAGATCCTTTCTTTCCTGACTTCATTTTCACATGTGTGTACATATCTGTATAATACCCATGTATTAGATGTATATGCATATCTATATATATATATACATATGTGTATATATATTTGTACAATACACATCTATTATACATGTAGGTATATGTGTGCATATACACATAGGTGTGTATATTTCTGTACAATACACATCTATTATATGCATATGTGTATATGTATGTATCTTTGGTGCATTTGTATATATGAACTTGTGTGTGTGTATATGTATATACACTTTTGTGTATATACCTTTGTATGTGCTTTATATATATTTATATATGTGTGTATGGGTACTATCTTTGTGTGTTTACATGTATATGTTCCTGTGTGCATGGCTATATGTGGCAAACCAATATAACTGTGTGACATATTTCCTATGAAGTTTTCTATCAAAACTCAGCCTCAACTTGAACCATAAATGAGACTAAAATTATCAGTGGGTCAGGCTGTAGCACTGCCAAGTTCCTGTAAACATGGGCTAGGCAGAAAGAGCAGAGTTGTACTTATGAGGTTGTTCGCAAGTAGTTTGATTTTTTAAAACAGTGTACCAAAGTGAATGGAGACAACGGCCAGAGATGTGTTGTAATATTATTGCAGCTGTGACCATGAAAAAATGTGACCATGCTTCTCAGTTAGATTCTTCTTCTCACCCTGTGGTCTCAGAGCCTACTTGTTACAGGGGAGTTCCTGCCTTTTGGTCCTATAAGACACATCCTTTCAACCTGCCCCATCCCAATTCAAGTCCTGGTCAAGTGATATAAGCGTCTGATGACTTGCCCTCTGAGTGAATGACACTGAGTCCAGTCACCAAGGGGCTGAGCTGCTTGTAGGCAAGTACAGGACTTGAGACAGCACAAAGATGAATAAATCAGGTCCTAAAGAAAGGCACACTAGAGCCTGGACAGATTGGGGCTATTCTTCATTCTGCCTGTATTCAGAAGACTAAGCTCTCAGAAAGAGGGGGCACAGAGCTGCTATTTTGAAGCTCTCTGGAAAATGCCATCATTTAAAATAATGTTTCCTATGTACATCTAGTCCCTAGACAATGGGATATGTGGAGGGGAAATGGAGGAGTTTGCTAGTTCCTTTTTCATTTTTAAAAATATTTTTTAACCCAAGAATTTTTTATTGTTTTTGTTTTACAGTCATTTATGCCATGAATTCGTAGGGGATAGGTTCCAACAGCTCAGGTTTCTTGCCATTGCAGGCTGGTGCTTCAGTAGAACCCAAGCGACTTTTTCTTTGACTTCCTTCTTCTTCTGATCATTTTCCTTTACCTGCTTCAGGAAGTTATCTTTGCTCTTAGAATGCTTAGTATGCTCAATACGCACATTAATTCTCTTTGCTAGAATCTTACCCTTAACCTCTTTTGTTTACAACAATGCCTGCAATATGTTGAGAAACATTATAGACCCATCCAGTCTTGCCATGGTAACATTTGCAGGACATTCCTTGCTGAACTGTGCCCATATCCTTGATATCTACAATATCACCTTTCTTGTATATTCACATACACCTAGCCAGAGGGACAACACCATGTTTTCGAAAGGGCCTAGAAAACATGTATTGTGTCCCTCTCCTTTTTCCTTTTGTGTTCGTCATTTTGGCAACTCGCTGCATTATGGTGGAGCCAGTGGAAAGGAAGCGCTGGTTCCTTTTTTAAAGAAGCCACCAGACTGTCTTATTTCTTCAAAACAATCAAAGATGTATCTTTTCCCTGAGCCCACCAAGATACATATTAAATCTGAGATACTGAGATGTCACTTCACATAAAAGTAATGATGAAAACTTTACAGAAGTCACTAATGGCTAACACATGACATAACACATGACATAACATAACAGCATCCTACTTACTCTTCACCTCAAAAATGTCTATACCTGCACCTTTTCTCTGAGAGTCCCAGAACGTTTTCATGTTGAGGGTGTTTCACTTCTATTCACACAGTATTTGCACATCCCTAGAAAATCAAGGAGGAAAAGGATACTTATCCTCCAAACTTTGGCCACGTAGAAATAAACAACAGAGGAGTTCAATGATTACAAATGATATTGCAAGGTGGTGACAGACCCAAGATTGGAACCAACACTTTCCCAGTGTTCTAACCATCAGGACACATTGCCTCTTAGTGTAAACTCTTTGTATTTAAACTTAGTACTCCACATTCCCCAGCCTCTGATCTTTATGATTAGTTTGTGTGGGCTTGGTTCCCCTTGGGCAGAAGGAGAGCAAACTCCAGTAATTCTTTCATGGACAAACTCCAGTGCAATTGAAGGGAATGAAAACACATTTTCAAATCCTATAGCCAGGCAGAGCCCAAATTTGTCAGCTGCAAGGACCATTTGTAAATGATACTCAGTCCCAGGATAGTGGGGAACAGGAGGAGAGGGTTAGGAGCAGGTTTTGTCACAAATGTTCTTTTTAATATTTTTTAAAGTCATGAACAGACAACCATACCATGCATTCTGAATAGTAGAAAACCAAGCAAAAATGTACAGGTTAGTCTTACCAAAAATCAAGTTAAACTGTTGCTTGAATGTTTAGTTTTCTGTTGCTCATCTTAAAAAAAAAAAAGAACATGACTCAGTTAGGAGAATATGGAGCTATATAGAATAGAGCTATATAGAATAAGCAGTGGATAGAGTGCCACACCTGGAGTCAGGAAGACATCTCCCCAAGTTCAAATCTGGCTTCAGACACTTACTAGCTGTGTGACCCTGGGCAAGTTATTTAACTCTATTTGCCTCAGTTTCCTCACCTGCAAAATGAGCTGGAGAAGGAAATGGTGAACTACTCCAGTATGTTTGCCAACAAAACCCCAAATGGGGTCAAGAAGAGTCAGACATGACTGAAACAACTGAACAATAACAAGAATATAGAAGTATGACGCATAATCACTGTTCTCAAGGGGAAGACAATTGAATGCATGAAACAATAGCAAACAACACAAGACATTTTACCTCACTTGTATTATTGTTGTACATATTATATATATATATGCCATTATTGTATTGTTGTTGTTGTTTTTGTTGAGTTGAGGAGAAAGAAGAATGAACAAAGAAAACAGAGAGGATATAGTAAAAGAAAATAGGAGGATTGTAACATAGGAGGCAAGCAAAAAGAGAGGTTTGAGAAAGATAGTATGGTACAATGGAGAGAGCACTAGATCTGGCATCAGGAGGATTGGATCTGTCATTTACTTGCCGCATGACCTTAAACCAGTCACTTTATTTCTCAAAGACTCAATTTTCTTATCTATGTTGGCAAAGCAATAGTTACACTTCCTATTCCATGGGGGATTCTCAGAAGAATTAAATAAGATAATATATGCAAAGTGCATTATAAATCCCAAAGTGTATAAAGGCGTAAACTATGCATATTAAAGAGGAGGTAACAGTGGAGTTGAAGAGATTGGGGATCACAGGATTGAACAGAGGTGGACTCCCTTTTGTCCAGATTGCCCTAGGTGTGAGTAGTCTGCCTAAGAAAAAAGTCTCTTTGTCCAAGATTAAGTGATCAGTCACGTTCCTCAGCCCTCATTACAATAGGTCCACCTCTCATTATAATATTCATTCTTCTCATTAATTGTTAATCAATCAGAGTCAACTGCCACTCTCAGGAACATCCACTCTTCCAAGAGCATATAAGCAATAAATGGATCCCATGGGGGAATCTTTGGCATTTGAAAGTGCCACTGACCCCTTTTATTAATTATATGTTAGAATGATTAATAAAATGATTACCCAGAAACTATGTCCCTTGAACCTTTTATACATCATAGGAACATATATTTAGAACAGGAAGGGGCCTTATGGACCATATAGTCAACCATTCTCATTTTACAGATGATGCAACTCAGGCTTAGAATGCTTGAGTGATTCACCCAGCTGGTAAGTGTCAGGGGTAATATATGAGCCCGAGCCTTCCTGACTCCAGTTTGAGCATTCTATCCACTGTGCCACAGTCTGCATCCCTCATTGTAAGGGACTATAAGCAGAAGAGATCATTCTTCATTGGAGATGTTTATTGGATTCTGAAATTAAATTTTGAGGGCTCAGAATTTAAATCTGGACCACTGGCTAAGGATGGCAAGCAGCAGTCACTATCCTTCCAAAAATCATCAATATCAATTTCCCCTATACTACACATACTTGTAATATGCTGTTCAATGAATGCTGCTTTAGCTACCATGGTACCTCAGGGATTAGGAAGGTTACCTCAAGGAAACAAACCCAAAGACATAAAAGACTCAAATGGCAAACACTGAGCTCCTAGTCTGTGCTTAGTACTGTGAAAACACTCTGAGAAATAAAGAAAAGCATAGGACATGATACTTGCCTTCAAAGGGCTTCTCATTTAAGTTGGAGTCAAGATTGGTATACATCAAACAGTTGAGATATAAGCAGTGGATACCTGTTGGCCCAGGGCTACCCTGAAACACATGGAGGTCTAGCCTACTTTCTCATCTGGCTGGAGAATGTCTATTTGCCCAGGGCTACTAAAGCATGTGGTAGTTCTCAGAGCTGGAGGAGGCCAGTTTCCCTGGCTACACTGAGGCACATGGAGGTGGGGGGGAGGTCCTTGGTGTTGGCATTTGCCTGCTCCACCACACTGGGGCTCAGGATCTCCCACTGGTTTCCTGGAGTGGGGGTTGCTCCTGGTTTTCTTGGATACTTCCTGTCCTGAACTATGCTCCCTTTTTACCCTAGTGAGATGGACCTTTCTTGCTGATCTTCCCAGTTTCATGGGCTAAAAGATTGTTTCACCCTATCTTTTTGCTGGTTTCCAGGATTTGTTTGGGG